TATATATATATATATATATATATTATTCCTTCATGACGAAAGCAATAAATTGCTGAAGTCATGCATGACAGCCCCTAGTCTATTATTACCGTCAAAATATGGTTCGATTGGAGGATAAACAGAGTTTACATTCCAATCTTATAAAATAGTATTTCAAACACTTATTTATGTCAAAATTTCTTAATGCAAACAGTTAGTCAAAAATGTCACGTCCAAAATGTCTCAGGTCCATAACGACCGGTCCCACACGCCCAAATCTAAACCTTATCAGCTAATCTCCTGAAATTTTACTGTATTTGATGTATTAATTACTATCTGATTAAAGATAAATATGGTTTAAAAACTCATTAGCCTCATGAATTGTGACAAATTTACTTTCCCAATTTAATTATTAACTTTATTTTAATTTAATGAACCAGATATTGGCCCTATAATTCATAACTCTACTCATATCTTTGTGGTTATGGGCATATCAAAGAGTAGGGCTGTCAAAACGGCTCATTGTTTGGGAACAGCTCGTGTTCGGCTCTTTAATTTCATTCGATAAGTTAACGACCCGAACACGAATTAAGATGTGTTCGTTCGTCTTCGGCTCGTTTTGGCTCAAATACTACTCATCAAGTTTATATATATATATATAAAGTATTATTTTAAAAAAAATCTAATTGACTACAAGGCTACAAAGATTTATAACCAATTAAAATATTGATTAAGAAAATAGAATAAAATTTATTAAATTATACTCAAATGATGTTTTAATATAAATAATGAATTTTAAATCTTGCTCAAATCCTTATTGTTTTATGACTATATGATTAGGGTTGTTAAAAGGACTCTTTGTTCGTGAACAGCTCGTATTTAGCTCGTTTGCTCAAACGAGCCGAACACGAACACACTTTCTGAGCTCGAAATATAAACGAGCCGAACACGAGTTGAGCATGGCTTTCTCGTATTCGGCTCTTTTACACCCCTATCAAAGAGTAAAATCAAAGAATTTGTTCCCTTCTATCTTTCTCTTTGTAACCCTTATGATCTATATTATATATATGAATACATTAGAAAAAAAAAAGCTCATTATTCTTCATGTCTGTATTTTGAGAAATTAAGAAAAAAATTTATTTGACTCAGTATATACTATGAAAATTCAAATACTCCATTAACTATTTTCTAGATAATAGAAGGGCTGCCACTATACTTTTCTATCCAATGAGCCTTTTTCAGATTCTTCCGAAGCTTAGACGCGTAGAACTATTTCTTTATCTTGGAGTAATTTATAATGATTCATTTACTTTTTTTTTTCATTGGAGGAGATATTTTTTCACAAAAAAAGTTAAATATTTCACTTGAATGTATGATTTTGATTCATTTGGTATTAAAATTACTTTATCTTATCTATTGATCATAATACATTCTATGTGTACTCTAATCTTCTTTAAAATAGACACGATATTAGATTCCTTTGATGTTTATAATATTGACATGGCAAGTAAATCAGATATCTAGCCTCCCCTCAATTTGAATGCCGCCCTTGATCATGGCCTGTTATTCATTTCCCACAAAGCTACCCTTTATCGTAAGAAAAACCTTATTATCATGCCGCGAGCCTTCTTATCAACCGCTCCAATATCTCGAATCGGTGCTCAAATCTATTTTACATGGAATAAAACTTACCGCTTAAAGAGAAAAACCTTCATTCTATGGCCAAAGAACCTCCAACCTTCATTCTATGGGACAGTCGTTCAAGACCAGCTCCCCCAATTGATTCCGGAACTCATTTTAAAATGGCCGAAGGACCTCCAACAAAACATCTTTTTGGCCCTCCGAAAAGCCTCTTTGCCTAAGGAGAGCTGACCGTCGTCACATTAGGGTGGTAAACCACCTACTAACGACTCAGTTCACCCTAGTGATGGGAGAACCTCCCTAAGAATTCTCTCTAGAGTATGCCGACCGAATGTCTATCTATTGCCCAAAGGCTTTCATCCGTCCTAGAGGTAAGGCTACCGGGTCATCAGATGCTTCTCTTTAAGCAATTACGAATACAAAACAATGCTAAGATCGGTTATGAATATGAAAATGTTCAATGTCGGTTACTAACGTGAAAGGGTGTCATAGAAACTTATAACGTCCCTATTTAAATGGGAACAAATATGTAATGTTATACTAGATACCCTTGAAATATATAAAAAGAGGGTTATTTCTACAGTAAAATACAAGTGAATTTGTTCTATCAAAATTCTTGTGTTACCGTGCACTCTCTCTCAATCTCCCTCTTTTTGCTTCTCTCAATGCTCTATTTATGGTGTGTGATTCATCCGACATATCTGAATTAAACAATAATTAAGCATATTTAAATAATGCGAACGTAATTATTGACAATCACATAATCCATAAATAATTAATCATTTTTTTCCTTATTACAATCAGCTGATAAAAAACAAATGTAGCTTGATTTAATTACTTCAATTATATAAAAAGTAATGTTTACATACATACCACCCAATTCCCGAACACTTACACTTTGCAATTTACAGTTATACCACACAAACTTTCACATCACATAAAACATACCACTATTTCAACTTAAAAAAAAAAAACCAGTAAATACACCTTTTTTCATGCATAGGCAAGGTCCTATGCATGCAAAAACAACTATTTACTTACATCCTCCTCAATTCCTATGTATTTACATATCTAACACCTAAACTTCAATTTATGCATTCATACCATCTTAACAATAAATGTGGAAACCGAAACCTATAAGATACAAGAAATGTAAATACATAAGAATTGGGTGGTATGTATGTAAATTTCCCTTGTAAGAATTTAAGTTTTGATGTTAAATATATAATCGGTACATAGGGATTGAGTGGTATATAAGTAATTGTTCATATTAAAATATGAAAAAAATATATATTAGAGAATGATTTGAACAAGTCATTGACAAAACAATAGTTTGATTAGAAATTAAAGAATATATATCACAATCATCTCCAGTATTATTGACATTTATATTTCAATTTAAGAGGTGGCATTATGTCAGAGGTGGCTATTCATTTGTAAGATATCCTTTACTCATATTAGTGGCATTTCTCTTATTGAACCTGATAACATCAGAAACGATCTGACATGAGTCTAACCAGGCACAGATGATGCACTTATAGCGTAGTTAAAAGCTTTGAAATTTATTTTGAACCACCAAATGTTCTCGAGATCTCATAAATTTATAGTCAAATTAAGCGTCTCGATGAGCCAAATCCAACAAGCTTAATATCACCTAATTTTGACGCTATTAAGGTGCTTAAAGGCTCACAAAAAACTATTTGATCAAAAGGATCACTCCCAGCCGATCAATTGAGCGGTCCCGATTTATGTAATCTCGATGCAGTACATCACTCCCAAATTTGTAAATGTCAAAATTATATTTGGTGTTAAATTTGATATTTCAATTTGGTGTTAAATTTATTATGAAAAAGAAGTATTTCACATTTTAAAAAACTAATAATGAAAACATTTCATAAGTGGCCTTAAAGATTTGAGCGATACTCATGCAAGCATGAATTTTTAACTATTAGATATGTACACGTAGTACACAACCACACGAGTCTTATGTATATGCATATCTCACACCAAAACTGTCATATTTTCGTAGGGCAATTGTATGTTGGTGAATTGTTCACCGTAATATTGTCTGCATATTTTTACATTTAACACTCAAATTTTCTAATATCATATACTATTATTTAAAAATGAAATACACATTTTCAACTATAGATTCTAAACTTCAAATTGTAATTTATAAATACAAATATTTAAGTGTGATATATGCAAATAAATTACTAGATATGTATTTTTTTTTTTTCTTAAAAGGGTTGGACTTTGAAATTCTCGAAATGAAAACAGGGGAGCTAACGTCATCGAATAAAAGTAGACCAAAGAACGATAACCACCGTGGACTTCCAAACCAATGGCCGGCGGCGTCAGATGCCTACGTTGCATGAACACACGTGGTCTCATATTTCGTCCAATTCCAGCAAACACGTTAAAATCCACAAGCTTTTCATGTCCCAATATTTCTTCCCTCGCCACCTCCTTCTATCTCATAACTTCTCTATATAAGGAGATCTTCTTACAGACTCCTTCCATCCAAACTTCAGAGCAACTTTCTCTCTCTTTCCCCATTACTATAGCTCTCTTCTCTTCTTTCGCAGACCTTAATAATGGCTTTTAGCATCCCCTTCTTCCTCCTCACGCTACTCCTCGCCAATACTGCAAAAGCAGCCATTAATCCATTATCACTTTCCTGTAATCAAACGCCATACCCGGAGCTCTGCAACTCCATGCTTACCACGACTAATCTGGCCAAACAAAATGTTCAAGCCGGTTTCCGTGAGCTGGCCATCCGAGCCACCCTAGCCCGAGCCCAGCTGGCCCACCAGATAGCGTCGGAGATAGATATGTCGAGCATGGGCCAGCCCACGAAGGCTGCGTGGGCCGATTGTCTGGATCTCTGCGAGAACACCATCACCCAGCTCAACCGCACCCTGTCTCACACCTCTTCCCACGACGACTCCCAAACCTGGCTGAGCGCCGCCATTGCCAACCAGCAGACTTGCATAAACGGTTTTCTAGACCTCAACTCCTCCTTCCACTATCCTTCATCTCCATTCTTATCCCACAACATCTCCAACGCCGTCAGCAACTTGCTTGCCATTAACAAGGCGGCCGCGACTGCGGCCTCCGGTAGAAATCGAAAGTTGCTTTCTGATGCTGGAAGCAAGTTTCCGGCTTGGGTTTCGGTGGCGGACCGGAAGCTTCTTCAGTCATCTTCGACGGTGAATGCCAATATTGTGGTGGCGCAGGATGGGTCGGGGGACTATAAGACTATTTCTGAGGCTGTGGCCGCCTCTGCTAAACAGAGGAGCGGGAGTTCAAGGTTTGTGATACATGTGAAAGCTGGTACGTATAACGAACAGGTTGAAATCCAGGCGTCGATGAAGAACTTGATGATTGTTGGGGATGGAATTGATAAGACCGTGGTGACGGGCAGCAAGAACGTCGATGATGGATCCACCACCTTCCGCTCTGCAACTTTTGGTCGGTATATCTAATTATAAAAATCAATGTTTTAAATTAAAAATTTTTGTAATATTTATATAATTACAATACATTTGATACATACATGCAGCTGTTGATGGAGACGGATTCATCGCACGTGACATCACCTTTCAAAACACGGCGGGTCCTCAGAAACATCAGGCGGTGGCTCTCCGATCGGGCTCCGACCTCTCCGTCTTCTACAGCTGCAGCTTCAAGGGATATCAAGACACCCTCTACGTCTACAGCCAGCGCCAGTTCTACCGCAACTGCGACATCTACGGCACCGTCGACTTCATCTTCGGTGACGATGCCGCCGCCGTCTTCCAGAACTGCAATATCTACGCCCGCAAACCCCTTGGCGGGCAGCAGAACACCGTCACCGCTCAGGGCCGTACTGACCCCAACGAGAACACCGGAATCTCTATCATCAACTCCGTCATCGCCGCCGCCTCCGATCTCACCGGAAGCTCCGTCAAAAGCTACCTCGGCCGCCCATGGAAGCAGTACTCGAGAACGGTTATAATGAAGACCAATATCGGAAGCCTCATCGATCCCGCCGGCTGGCTCGAGTGGAGCGGCAATTTTGCTCTCTCGACGCTGTCTACGCTCTACTACGGTGAGTATTTGAATACCGGCGCCGGGTCTAGCACTGCGGGCCGGGTCAAGTGGGCCGGATACCACGTCATCACCAGCGCTTCGGAGGCCGCAAAGTTCTCCGCCGGTAACTTTATATCCGGGGATTCGTGGATTCCGGCCACCGGCGTTCCGTATAGCTCAGGGGTTTAATTCGATTGATTTTTGGAGTCTGTGTCTGTCTTTGTAGTTTGTTGATAGTTTATTTTATGGGGTGGGGGTAAACCGATTAATTTGTGTTTGATTATTTGAATGAATGTGTAACTAGGAGTCATTCGATTCATATGTATAAGTCGTATATGGGTGATTATTTATGTCTAAATTAAACTTATAGCTAGAAATTAAAAAAAAAATCATTTTTTGTTTCTCTCAAGTTGTTAATTTTTTCTGCAAATTTTTTATTGGGGCAGTTACATAAAAATCACCTGAAACTTGTTATTTACAAATGAACAAATATTACATCTGGATTTCGGACGTAGAAATACATTCGAAGTCCAATGAAATCACACCACATAGAGATGATGGAAAAATTAAAAAAAAAACGTTTTAGCACAGAGGAACAACCCTCCTCTGTTATTCTGCGTTATTCAGACATTATTGTGCTGGTATTCATGTGTTATTGTGTTATGAAGCCCTCCTCTGTTATTCTGCGTTATTCAGACGTTATTGTGCTGGTATTCATGTGTTATTGTGTTATGAGAATATTTTCGGTGTTATGATAACATAATAACACATCAATACAACCACAGTAACACCTGATTAACGTGGAATAACACGAGAGAAATATTTCTCTGTGTTATCGGGCCGGATCACAAGAAAGCGCGCACATTTTTTTTATTTTGTAGAGATTTGAGTGTGAGTCCTTGAAGTCACGTGTCCGCATGTCAGTGGACTCCGAATGCTTCTCTTAGTTAGGAGTCCTTATAGAATAATTTTCCATTTACAAATTTACCTTCCTCTTTCATCCAAAACAACAAGCCTCCATCTCGTTCACATAACAGCTCTAAACATCAAGAATCAATGCCACTCAAATGAAAGATTAAAGATTAACCATGTATCATAGATCAAGAGCACACTAAATCACACCAATCTGTAGTGTGAGACACACGATCTTTGTACAAAGATCGAAGAAGCAACTGAAAACTGATACTAGCTATATATAAATCATATCAACCATTGGATCTCAACCAAGCCACTAACTTTGGCGTCACTTTAGAAAGTGAAGTAATGTGATGCTTTGAATGTCTAACTGGTGATCAAACATATCATTTTCAATCTTAAAATTTAGACGTTGTTTGTCTGTGTTTTGTTGTTATATAACCCTGTTTAAAAACTGTGTTAAGAAAGTAGCTTTTTATAGTCAGATGGAAACAGTTGTCTGTAAAAACAAAACAGAAAAAAAAGGAAGTTTGGTTAGAATAAATTTTAGCAAGCAATACAAGCAAACGAATTAAAAATTGATTTATAATATATATTTTTTTAAAATCACAGAGTTAAAAAGCTATTCTAAGCAAAACCTTAAACCTATAAGTGAGAGTCCACTACTTTTTGTCTCTATTCCAACATATTTTTCAAATTTATGTACTAAAGTCCCACATGCATTAACGAATTTGAAATATGTGCACAGTAAAAATGTCGGCATGAATCTCAAAAGATCAAGCGGCTACAATGGAATTTCAGGTGATTAAAGTCTTGTGTCGAAGAGCGAGATGTGCAGGACAAGCGATCGGTTGACACAAAACAAAATTGATCGACTGACCAACGACCGAGTGGCCGGACGATGAAGATCGATTTACTGGATCCTTTGACAGAAGCGATTTGATGTATATGATCGGTCAACATATCAAGTCGAAATTGAAGCGTCTGGTGATCGACGAACATTATTTTTCTTTTGTATTATAATGTAATTTTCATTCGACAGACACGTCGATTCAGTTATTTGGGTGGTTATTTTACTTGTTCCCTCTCTTTTATATGACTGTTTTTTTAGACCCCTACAAGTAGGAGGTAAGGGCATAAACGAATGGACTTTCACTCTCTCTCTCTCTCTCTCTCTCTCTTCTCACTCTAACTTTCGGGGTGCGTATTCAAAAAGATAGGTAACAAAAAAAAAAGAGTAGCACATTACAAAGAAAAATAGCAACAAGGAGATGCAACGTAGATGAAGTTTATGAGAGATTCAACAAGTATAAGAGTTGTGGAACAAATGATCGGTCAATTTGAAGCCCTTCGAGAAGCAAAAATTTGAATGGTTGATCAACCACTGCTTCTGGAGATGGGATATCTGGGAGCTCGCTCTCAAAGAGTTTCTCTTGAGAATCTTCTAGCACCAAATGATTGAGCGAGCAATCGAGCGACCAAATGGCTAAGAGATTCCCAACATGTTGACAGCATTGGGTCTACACCCGATGGTCAGGCATTGGGTAGACCGGGCTGAGGCATAGCCGCCTCCAGATAGTTGTTTTACTTGACAAATCATGAAGGCAGTTGTTGAGAAATTTAGGGTGAAGAAAAACAATAATCGACACAAAACCAGAAGAACACCGAGATTTAACGAGGTTTGGCAAAGATACATACGTCATCGGGAGCAGAGCGACGAATTTAACTTTTTCAGAGGAGTCCAGTACATACCCTTAGAGTTATACAGCATATATATAGATAAAACCCACAGATAAAATTACTAACAAGCCCTCGCTCCCCCAACTCACTTATCTCCAATCGACACCTCTTCACTCCAAGAGACTCCAAATTTTGGTATATGAGGCATACTCAACAAATCTCCACTTTGGCGAATATCCAACCCCTTAGGATAAATACATATACCTAATAAATCTCTACCTTGATGAATATCCAGCCCCTCAGGAGAAATACATCACAGAGTTTCTTACACCGAAGTGGATTAGACAACCGTGTCGTCTAACAATTGCAAACATTCAACAAGTTCAAGCAATGCAAGAATCTGTTGATAATATCTGGCTTGGTCAACATATCTGTTGCAATTTCATCATATGATTCAATATAGTGAACTTCATCTATGAACTCCACCTACAACTGTACTCTCTAATAGTTTATAGATATTACCTGCAGTGATCTTTCCTTTCATCACAATCAATGCACCTTTAAAAATTCTGATGATTTCTCTATTATCATATGCTTTAGGAATAAAACAATTTCTGTGTAAAGTGCCAAAGGAAATTAAATTCTTCTTCAAAATTGGAATATGTCTTACATCACAAAATGTTCTGACAGTGTCATCATGCATCTTAATTCTGACTTTGTCAATACCAGCAATATTATAACATCTATCATCACCCAAACAGAGTCAACCAGAATCAGATAACATGTATGAAACAAATCATTTCATATTAGGTGTTATGAGATAAGAGCATCCTGAATCAAGAATCCATGCATTCTTTAGCGTAGTTGTTGTAACTGAAAGTACATCACCATCACTGTAATCTGTAATGTCACTCTGCATCATATTCAAGGACTTTGAAGATATATCATGTTTTTCTTCAAACTGTTTCTTGAGCTTTGGACAATCTCTCTTCATATGTCACGGCTCCTTACAGCTGTAGCAATGAATCGTCTTTCTGCCTTTAGGCTTTGTTTCACATTCCAGAACTCTAATTCTACTCCTTCATTCCACGATCCTGATTACCCTTAGCATACAAACAATTAAAATGAGAGATTTCCCCTGCATTCTGCTTCCCCTTTTTGTGAGCCAACAATGTTGCAGTAATCTCATCAATTTTGATTGGTTATTTCTCATATGTAAGAGTAGTGATCATATGTTCATATGAGGAAGACAATGAACACAACATAATCATTTCTCAGTTTTCATCCTCAATACTCACATCAAGCCGTGTTAGATATGTGATTATTTGATTGAAGACATTCAAATGTTGAGCCGGATCATTGTCTGCCTGCATCTTCGGCCCATACAGTCTATGTTTAAATACAGTTTATTTGTTAGAGATTTGGACATAAACTGAGATTTCAATTTCTTCCAAACTTTTCCTGAAGATTTCAAATTCATAACATGATACATAATCTCATCTGTCAGACAAAAACGTATAGTACCTGCCGCTCGTAGTTATAGTTCTTCCCAATCTTCATCTTCCATATTATCAGGTTTCGTAGCTCGCAAAGTCTTTAAAATTTTTTGTTGTGCCAACAAATTTTTCACTCTTATTTTTCACAATCTGAAGTTTTCGATTTCATCGAATTTCACTATCTCGAATTTTGCACCAGCATTGTTATTTGAAATTAATTATGCAGCAAACTTTTTCTATTCGCACAAAAAAGAATTCAGTTGAACTACTGTGAACATCTTGCCTGAAGCCCTTTTCTGTTCGCGTGAACGCCTCAGCCGAACTCTACCTGTCGCAACTCCTTCTGTGATAAATTTGCGAACAACAAACTCTCCGCTGTCTGAACTCCTCTGTCCTCAAAACGACGCTTTTGTTTGCAATAACTGCACGAGAAATCCTTTTCGCAAACTCAAACTCACCTAACGCCACGAAGGTTCATGAACTGTTGTGCCTCAAAGCCTCGCTGGCTTTCGAAGAACAGAACTCCTTTGGCTATCGCGGAAGGAACCTGGATGCGCTAACTCCACCTCACCGAACTCCATCCCACCGTCGCTACAGGTCTTTTGCTGCCAAGTTCGCAAAGACTCGTCTCCTCCTGTCGCGACCTCCTTTGCGAACCAGAACGGTGCCCATGCCGCGAACACCTTACCACAGGAATTACGAAGGAATATTCCTTCTTCTCCTCTAATTGCTGCTTTCATCGCCTCCCTGTTCCTCTGTGGCTGCATCGCTGAACTAATGTTTGCACCGAAAGTCCTCATCGTCGTTGAACTGCTTCGCGTCTGTTCTCGAACAATCATCTCGGTCGTGTGCACTCCAACTGTTTGCGATCAAAACCGTCGAAAAACTGTCTTCGTCCTTGAACTGTCGTAGTTTGTCAAATTTCAAAGACCTAACTGAACTTTTTTCTCAATTCTTCTTCTTGCGCCAATCTCCTCCGCTCTAGAAACTCGCTCTAATACCAATTGTTGAGAAATTTAGGGCGAAGAAAAGCAAGAATCGACACAAAACCAAAAGAACATAGAGATTTAACGAGGTTTGGCAAAGATATCTACGTCCTTGGGAGCAGAGCGGTGAATTTCACTATTTTAGAGGATCTAGTACATACTCATAGGGTTACACTAGTTACATATCATATATATAGATAAAACCCACAAATAAAATTTCTAACACGCCCTCGCTCCTCCAACCCACTTATCTCTAAAAGACACCACTTCACTCCAAGAGATGCATCTCTTCACTCCAAGAGACTCCAAATTCTGGTATATAAGTC